CAGGGCCTGTGAGGACTGCAGCCCACCCTGCCTGACTTCTAGATTTAAGGAGATTTTCTTTTGGAGACCGTGTCCCTCTGCGTATTCTGGCTTTTCGCATGATCATTGTACCCCACCCCCACCCGAAATATCTTTAATGATAAATTATAGAAGGGGTTGAATTCTTTCCTGCCGGGCTCATATGTTACATGCAAATCAGGGATGTCATATCCCTTGGTGAAAGAAGACCTACACCTACTGGTATCTTGGAGCCAGGTGCAGGTCCTGTTATAAGGAAGATTAAAGATAGCGTGTGTAAAGTAGCTAGCAGCATTCCAAGTAAGAGGCAGCATACACTCCTAGAAGGGACATGAACTGGTCTTTTATTACGCTATTGTACATAGTTTTGATCATGGTCTAGATTAGCAATTCCAGGTCATGGCTACAGCCATTCTCTTTCTCCGATATCAAGTTCTCTCTATAGGATTGATTCCGCTGGCAATGCTAGGCAAGGGCTTCACCACCGGTCTCTGTCCCCAGCCCCAAAACCTTAGAATCATTGTTGATTTTTTCATCCAACCTTCAGACTCCTATGTGCTATTCTCTCAGGAAAATCTAGAATCTGATGATTTGCTTACCACCTCTCCAACTACCTCTCTGATCATTGCTTCACAATTGGGTTATTCCAATAGGGCCCTGAAGCAAGAACAACCAAAAATTTTAGCAAAATAGGTTTTTTATTTGAGCATAATGCTGCACGTCTATAATCCCAGGTACTTGGGAAGGTGCGAGGGGAGGACCACAAGTCTGAGGCGAGCCTGGGCAATTTACCAAGAGTCTGTCTCAAAATAATTTTTTAAAAGGCTGGGGCTGTAGCTCAGCACTAGAGTGCTTGCCTAGCATGTGAGGTCCTGGGTTCATTGTCCAATAGTGAAGATATAAAAAAAAAGTCTCGATAACAATTATCACCCATGTTACCAATGCATAGCTACACCTTCATGCTAAAAATGAAGCTTTGTAGATTTGCAGCCTTAAAAACTCCCCAGTTTGCGGGGGTGGCATGCTCCTATAGTCCCAGCACTTGGGAGGCTGAGGCAGGAGGGTCACTTAATCCCAGGAGTTTCAACCTAGACAACATAATGAGATTTTTAAAAAATTGCTGGACAATTTACTCTCATGATTGTGCTTGCTTAAGAAGAAACAAGTATAGCTTTTAAAAGAGTCTAGTAGCAACCACTGGACATTGCTTTAAGCTGTTAAGAGTTTGGAAAACATACATATGAATTCTTTGAGGTTAGATAGAAACCAGATTCTATTGTAATATAAAATCCAAGACTAGCTCCTTGCCGGGAATCAGTACTGTAGCTCTGGTATCTTGCTTGTTATATTGGACATAGATCCTACAATAGGACATCACTTGATGTGGGGGATCTTTCTATTTCCAGACACAGGGTGTACTGTCATGGGATTGAGGATGCACTGAACAAATAACGTCACTATTTTCATTAATGGGTAGTGGCCCAAGGGGGAAAAGAGCAATGATACATGCACACATACAATTACACACATGCACATACACCAAAGAAATGCATGTATGTACTGGACTCTGGGAATCAAGCTGTTGTTTACAGATGCCAACTACTTTCTCTTGGGAAGAGCTGTGCCTTTCTTTCGGTCTTTCTTTACTTCTTTCTCAATACTGGAAATTGAATCCAGGGCCTTACCACTGGGCTGCATTCCCAGTCTTTTCTTTTTCTTTTTTATTTTTGAAACAAAGTCTCAATAATTCCCTAAATTGCTTTAGGTGGGCTCAAACTTTCACTCCTCCTGCCTCAGCCTCCCAGACTGCTGGTATTATAGGTGTGTACTACTATGCTAGGCTTGTGCTTTTTCTTTGTAAAATTGCCCCCCTTCCTCTCCCCTCCTCCCATTCCCTTCCTTCCTTCCTTTCTCTCTTTCTTGCGGTACTTGCCTTGTACATGCCAGGCAAGCTCTCTGCCTCTGAGAGACAATCCTTCCCTTTTTAAAAAATTTTGAAATAGGTTCTCACTAAGTCGCCAGGCTGGCCTCAAACTCAATATCCTCCTGTCTCAACTTCTGGAGGAGCTGGGATTACAGGCATGCACCACCATGCCTGGCTTTCTTTTCTTATTTTAGTATTAAAAATGTCCTTTCCTTTAGGAAGTGATAGAAACAGTAGTTTGGTTTTTTTTTGTTTGTTTGTTTTTTTGTTTTGGGGGGGGTTGGTGCCAAGGATTGAACTCAGGACCTTGTGATTGTTAGGCAGGCGTGGTGCCACTAAGCTAAATCCCCACCATAGCTGTTTTATTAAAATCGTGATTGGGTTTGGGTTTTTAAAAATTCTCACTGGAGTGGGGTTGGAGCTCAGCAGCAGAGGGCTCACCTAGTTTGGGAGAAGCCTGATTCCCAGCACTGCAAAAATTAAAAATTAAAAAGCTTAACAGCTTCCCAATCAGAAAAGTTTTTCTGAAATGACACTGATTCATGAAATCTAAAAAATCTGCAGCTGACAACTTTCTAATAAAAAACATAATCTTGGCCAGGTAGCCTCCTTTTCAGAAGAAGACCAAAGTGTCGCTCGGCATTCCCAGCCTCCCACTTCCGGCCCAACCTGCCTCTCTCTGTGTCCTTGCAGAAGGGGGGCATCCCGGGGGCACCTGCCTCTTCCCCTGGCACTGGAGCGCTGCCTTGAGCCTCAGCTCAGCTGGGCCCTAACACTGCCTGGACCTCCTCAGTCTCCTGCTCTCAGAGGCTCTGCTCCAAGCCTCCAGGGCAGCTGGAATGGAAGGTGTCCTCAGCTGCCCCTTCTCCAGGGCTAGGCCTGGGTTCCAAGAAACTTCACTCTCCCTCCTACTGGATCCCAGCTTCCCGCCTCCCTCACTCCTTGCCTCTTTACCCACAGGCATCCTAGCCAAGACAGGATTATTACCTGTGTCCCTCAGGGAACTGAGCTTTCTACCTTAGCACCTTTTCCCAGGACAATGGTCTGCCCCTAATGCCCTGTGTCTCCCTAACCACGAGCAGCTTAAACCTGCCTCTTCCCAGAGTTCTTGTTAGGCACAGGGACACAGGTGGGTGACACAGGCCCTACCTACTGGGACCTCGGAATATGAGGAATGAGAATCCAGGGGAAATTCACCTCACCTCCTTCCCCAGAGTTGGCTGTGTACAACTTTGCATAATCATTGTTTGGGGGCACTATGGGGTCTCTTTGAGTATTTACTGGACAACTCAATGGAGAAAAGACGACCTCACTTAACATACATACCTTCACTTCACGCATTCAGCAAATATTCATCAAATACCTATGAGATGCTAGGGAAATCTCAGAATTTTGAACAGTTAGGGCTGAAGGCCCACACCTCACAGACTGGGTGTGTACAGCTGTGCACGTGATTCAGAATGGGGCCTGCATGCTTTGGAATCCGTTCCACCTAATTCAATGTCCAGAGCACATGGGGGTTCGGCTGGGAACACAGAGCACTCCACTGCAAGTCTGGCTTCCTGATTTCTCGAGATTATTTTGTTCACTCTTTGTTTTCAGTGCAACAGTAACATTTATCTGAAGTCTGGTGTGTGCCTAAGTCCTGTAGATACAGAGTTACAGAGGAAAGATTCACATCACACCCAAGGGGTATGAACGTTCATCACAGGTGACCTTTGGAGTCAGAAAAAGAGCACTGTTGTTCTAGGAAAAAGTGTGCTCTCCTGGCTCTTTTAAGGGCAGTTGTGAGACTGGAGATGCAGCTCCATGGCACAGCACTTGCACAGTGTGTGGGAGGCGTTGTGTCCATCCCTAGGGGAGATTGGGGTGGGTACTGGAATCGCACCTTCTCCTCTAGGGAAAGCCCATGAACGAGAAGATGCTGTCAGCCGAGCCCCAGTGCAGAGGCGGAAGCCAGAGTGGTCCAGGCCGCAGGATGGGCAAACCCTGCTGGTCTCACCCTTCCCAGGGGAGCAGAGGTCTTCTCAGAAGAGATAACATCCTGATAGCTAAAGACAGAAGTTTTCCTATTATCCACCCTTTTTTCTCCCCATGCTGAGGACTGGACGCAGGCCTTCATATTGAGCTACACCCCTTATTATTTTTTCATTTTCTGACAGGATCTCCCTAAGTCACCAAGTTGCCGAGGCGCGGCTTGAACTTGCAGTCCTCTTGCTTCAGCCTCCCAGAATGCTGGGATTTAATCCTGTCATTTTAGTTTATCCAAAGCTTGCCACTTCCCATTCAGGTCCTCATCTAAAAATGACCCCAGACTTAATCCAGGGGAAAACTTCAGCAGAGGGGCCCGGAGAAAATGGAGATTCGGGGAAAGGAGCAAACCAGGATGCTTCCCTCCTATTTGACTGACGCACCCCTCCCTTGTCAGCCAGCTGGTCACCCGGGCGGAGCACCGCAGCCCTAGCTGAGACAGACTTAACCCGCCTGCATTCATCCCGTGCCACACTCTGGGATTCGGGTTGCATCTGCACAGGAACTTGTAGAAGAAGCCTCTTTCCTCAGAGGAAGGTACTCTTGAGCTCGTACGGACCCCCCATATCATGCTCTGTAGGGTTCATGTGCACGAAGGAGCGATCCTTTCACCGCTTTACAGAGACCGCTGCTCTCAGTAGGTACAAGTCATGTGTAACACAATCCTGCTGCCTTTCTCGAAGTTTGAGGACAGACAAATGACTAATTCTCTCAATGGACCCAGAACGCCGATAGCAAACGGCCTAGGAGTTTAAATTTCCAGAATGCTGGCAAAATTGACTTGTACTGAGTTCCCGCACTGATCAAGCGCCCTGGCTTTTGAAAACTCAGGTCTACAGGTGAGATGGAGGAGGAGCCACGGGGAAGAAAGATAAAACGCGCTCAGCATTTGCCCTTCCCGGGTCCTCATTACAAGGCCACGGAGGAAGGACAGGGAGCCAAGGCCCCAACACGTTCTTCCGACAAAACAAGACTGTTTCTTTTCAATTCCTGAAAATCCACCCTAAAGCAAAGGTGAATCAATTACCTTGAGCATGCGGATCTCCCGAAGGGCGATTTTCCTGATGACCGGGTCGTCCTCAGGTTCCAGAAACTTCTTGATGGCCACGATCTGCCCCGTGTCCCTGTTTCTGCATTTGAAGACAACTCCATAAGATCCTTCTCCAATTTTCCCGATTTTTTCATACTTCTCCATCGTCTCACAGTGGATTTTCACATCGCCTTAAAACGAGCCTCCGAAGTCAGGGAGGACGGACAGCGCTGGGCGGCGGGACCTGGAAGAGAAGGGCCCTTGTCGCACACCAGGGGCGGACCTGTCAGGCCTCCCGCCCGCCCCTCCTTCCGCTGCGCCG